CTTTTCATTGTGAGCTGTATTCATTTTCTTTCTTATTTTTATAATTTCAACTATTTATTTCTTTAATTTCTTCCGATTTCTTTATAACTTTTTTGAGATTAATTTTATTTTCTGCAATGTTTTCTTTTTATTTGTGATTTTTATTTTTTGTTTTTTATTTTCTACAATTTTTTATTTCCTTAGATATTGTAATATTTTACTCTGCGTGATTTTTTTTTATTTTGTAGGGTATATTTTCTGTGATTTTTTATTTTTGGCGATTTTTTTTTATTTTTGGTGATTTTTAATTTTTGTGATGTCTTAACACTTTTTGTTTTCAATTTTAATATTTTTAGTTTTAAAAATTTGTTTTTCGTTCTACATTTTTTTTATGTCCTGTAAGTTTTTTAATTTTTATGATCTTTTTTCGGTTCTATTTTTCCTGCAGTTCTTTTTTTAATTTGTGTGATCTTTTATCTGTTATTTTCTGTTGTTTTCATTTTATTGGATTTGGGTTTAATTTTTGTGGTTTAGTTGTAATTTGAAAATTTTTGGTTTTATAAATTCTTTCTGTTTTATTTCATTTATTTTTTTTTGTTAAATTTATTTTCTTTCATTGAATTTTATTCTGCTTGTTTTGTTTTATTTGTTTAGTTAAGTTCTTTTTTTATGGTCTGTTTTTAATTGTAATATTTTTAGTTTTAAAAATAGCTTTTCGTTCTGTATTTTTTTATTTTCTGTGTTTTTAGGCTTTCTTCTGTATGAACTATGTATAATGAATGAAGGCACTTTAAATTACCGCAAAGCATTTAAGAATTTCGGCTCAGTTTTTATTTCCTTTAGTTCGAAAATCACTAAAACAAATATCTACAAAAAAAAGTTCAATGGCAAAAATAGTTTCACTTTTCTTCAAAGTCGCGTCTTCAAACGCTTGAATTGTAATCTTCAAGGCACATAAATTACAAAAACAACCGCAAATAGTTCTAAGCCAACAACAAAACAACACAGACGATAAATGTCAATAATGCATCAATTAGAACCATCGCACAGACTTTGTAAGAACAAAGCAGGCCAGAAGGAAGAATGCAAACACTGAACGACAACGACGCTAATTACACTTTGATGGTTTAAAACAAAACAAAAACACTAAAAATGTAAGTAATATACCACAGCTTTGTTAAAGAACAATTTAATGGAAAAAATGATTAAAAAAGAGAAACCAACAATACAACACGGAAATGACGAGCCAGACAAATGCACACGCCCCTTAAAGTTCAAATGCAGTTAAATTCATAGAAGTCATGTAAAATGAAGAAGTTACTTCAAAACAAACTTGAATATCGGTACACAAAAGGCGATCGAAGACAAGCGATCGAATGCAACACGACCGCACATAACAAAGTTAACAAACAAACTAAACGGCAGAGGTAAGCTTGTGCTCCCAGTTGATGTATGGGGCAGAGTTGCGACTGGTGCTGATGGCATACCGGCTGTGTTGGTGGTAGTGGTTTCGCTCCACACTAATACAGACAAAAAAAAGATACTAACTTTACATGGGCATGAGAGTTGGCGCGATCGTCAGCCGTTGGTGGAGTATTGTCTATGCATTAAGCTCGGAACACTTTGACGACAGCAGCGACAAGCAGCATCTGTTAAATTTTAAATACACACGTTCTTACGGACACAATTATTTTGACGACAGCACGACATCTTGGCTGCAGGACTGCAATTGTCGACGTCGCCAAATTAAATCTATTTCTAATTTTGCCGGCGACAATGAGTAGATGTAGTGCTGCAAAATTAAATTGTCGCAAAATTAATCACATATTCTTGATTGTTCATGTTTTTCTTATTTACTTAAATAAAAATACACAATTTGTGAAATAAATATACCAAAATGTCAAACTTTAAAATCAGCTGTTTGCTATGTCGCTGAGGTCTTCAAAATGTTTAAGAAGCTGGCTTCAAGGCGACATTTGTCGACAAAATGATGTCGCTGTCGTTACGTCGTGAAGTTGCAGTCGTCAAAGTGTTCCGAGCTTTAGGATGAGAGTGTATTAATGAGAGACGCACAACTCTCCAAAATCGTGTCAACACAATAGTGAATATAATATACACGATATATTCGTATATGTATGTACACATGCACTAATGCAGCTATGTAGTTAATAAAAAGCTGAGAGTTGCAAGGGTCTTTTTTTTGTATGCGTAGAACATTCTGACTGCAACAGGAACGGCAACAACGATAAAAGCAATAACAACTTGGAATAGGTATGTATTAGGGATGTTAATTTTTCAGCTTTTTCCGATGCCGGGATTTTCGGGATGTCCCGCGATTTAGATATTCATTACTTTTTAACAACTTAAATCGAAAAAATAGTTTCTACCACAAAACAAACAATATATAAATGGGTTTGAAACCTCCTTTTTATTTAAAGTGACGTTTTTATTTTTTCTCTCTGAAGTGAGGATTTATTTTAAAGGACTTTGTAATTTCAAAGCATATGATTGATTCCAAAAATTATTTAAAAAATTCAATGCAATATAGAATAAAAATATGGGTACCAAATGCAAGAGGAAATTTCTTTAGAATTTAAAAAAATTAAGATTTTGTGCATTCACGAGGACGAATAGGTAATTTTTTAAGCTGATAAAGTTAGAGGGACCAAATTCGACGATGTTATCGACTTTATATAAGTCCTTAACATATAATTTTTTCAAAAACAAATATTGCGAAATTTCAAGGATTAAGTTTTAAAAGGACATTTTCAATACTTACCAGTCCTTCTGCACTAAAAACTTGAATCTGTTTAAATTCTACAGGATTTCCTCTTTAATTTGAGACCCATACTTCTTCTCTACGCCAATTTCTCTGAATTTTTTAAACTCATTTTTGAATTACTGACGTCAGAGTGAAAAACTAAAAACACAACTTCACTATATTTAGCCTATGGTTTCGCGAATATATTGATTGTGTGTGTGATGTGTGTTTAAAATTTACTATCGCGCAATGTTATATGTATAATGAGCTAGACATTTATAAAAAAATATTAATTATTAAATAAAAAAAGAAATATAGCCAAAGCTGGTCAAGAAAAGGAGTTTCTATTATTGCCATCAGTGCAAATTACAAATCCCGAAAAACTCGGGATTATTTGCCAAGAATCCCGGAATTTTTGGGACCTTAAAAAGTCCGGGATCACGGGATGCCGGGATTCCGAAATTAACATTCCTAGTATGTATAGAGACGTTGTTTCAATTAGTACTCGTAGTATTGTTGCGATTATTGCGCATAACCGGCACGCAATGCGTAGGAAACGGCACAACACGACAACGACAACAACAACAACAAAAACAACGATGTAATTTAACAATGTAGCAACAATTTTGCAGTTGAGTACAGAGCGAAATATGTTTGCGTTGGAGTATTACAGCCCGTAGTGACTCTTTGCTGTCGCCGTCGTCGTTGCCATATCGCGAGTGAAGCGCGACGAACAGTTGGTGAAAAAAGAAGAAAAAAATTTTTGAATATATGTGTATGTATGTATTACATTGAATTAAACCAAATTAACCAAAACTAAATTAAGGAATATCTAATAAAATAACATACAAAAAAAAAACAAATATAATATTTAAAAATTAACAAACATATGTATGTATGTATGTATGGAAAGGAATCGAATTATGGTAGGTCAGAAAAAGCACAATGATTTTCCAGGCACTCAAGACGTAGATGCTTATTGTACCTTCACCGTAGAGAAAGTAGGGGAATACGAATTGGGAAAGTTTTGCTAGAATAGAACATTCTAGAATCGACCAAAGTTGAAATTAGACGTTGGACTTCCAACATTGACCGATCCGTTAACCGGCTGGCTAGGATACTAAATGTGAAATACGGGCTATCCTGTCCTGTAGCTAGGCCACGTACCTACTAAGCCGAAAGCAGTCTGGTGGAATGCTGAGCTAGAACAGCGTAAATTGTTGGCTACAAAACTCTTCAACAGGAGGATTTGAAAAATTATGGGAAAAGTTTTAACGAATACAAAAGTCAAATAAGAGCAGCGAAGAAAGATTCCCGACAGAAGTCAACAAATTAGAAACAATAGGAAGCATCAGGAGGCCAGAAGGCTCATGAACCTACTCCAGCCAGTAGTCTTGGGAAATATTGATGGAAACACACTTCTCAGGTTGCACGGATCTTTCAGTTAACTTTCCTGCATTTATTCCAGCTCGTCGATCGGGAGATAGTAGATAAGGAGAAGGTAACATGGACTATCCACTCGTTTGATACCCACAAGTCCTCAGGACCAAATAGGGTAGTGCCAATCTTGTTACAACACTCCTGTGAAAGTATGGTACCCCATGAGCAAGTTTAAAAGATGCTTGGCAGACGGGTACCTACCCAAAGCTTGCACGGAGGTGTGGGTGATATTTATTCCAAAAGCAAGGAAGTTAAACCACTCCTCCATAAAGGATTTTAGACCAATAAGTCTATCATCGTTCATACTGAAGACACTAAATAGACTTGTTGACCTATTCATGCCTATCGTAAGGGCAAATCATTCGATAGTGCTCTCCACGAAGTGTTCGGTACCATTGAAAGGTCACTGGAATAGAGGGAATATACCTTATCCAGCTTCTTAGATGTTGAGGGCGCTTTATGCCAACGTCAAAACGGAAGCAATTGGTAAGGTCCTTGCGTGGTTCGACTCGGTGCTGAAAAGCACAGTAATCAACTCAACTGTAAGCACAGGGCCCGCGATTATAAGAACAAGAAAAGGAAGTCCGCAGGGATGGGACTTATATCATCCCTTGCCAACAATTAGTGAGCTGATATGAACGGCATTGGGCAGTGTTTCCGACTAGACAAAACAAAATGGGCTAGAACTTAGCCCTTTTTAAACTGAACTTGTATTGTTCTCGAGGAATTTGCCTGAAGCTTGCCTCCGAGGCGAAATACTTAGGTATTATTATCCTTGACTCCAGACTCACGTAAAGAAAACAGCAAAAAACATGAAATTTTACTTGAAGCCACCGCAAGTATTCCTATCAGGCGCAAACTGTAAAAATACGCAGAGGCTAAGTGAACAAAATTGGGGAAGCACGTCCATTACCTCATGCCATCCTAGGATTTTATTAAGTCTTAAGATTTTCATTCATTTCAAACTAGGGAGGATCAGAAAAGCGGCCTACTGTCGGTAAATGATGGTGTTTTCATCTACTCCGATGGGTCAAAGATTAAAAAGGATAATCGGTTCGGGTCTGTACCTTCAGATAAGGTAATCATATCGCCTACCTACTGCAGCGTCTTTCAGGCGGATGTCTTGGCCATAGATATGGCGGTTCATCGTATACGGGATAATAAGTGTCTCGTCAGGTAACGTCACTATATTCGTTTACAGCCAGGCGGCATTGAAAACATTAGATTCTAAGGTTGTTAAGTCGAGAGTAGTTCCGAAACGTCGTGCATCGTTGGCTTCGCTGACCCACGTCGAAACCTCTCTGACGAAAACGAAATAGCCGATGAGATGGCTAGACAAGGCTCATAAATGCATATTAGCGAAGCGGATAACTCTCTGCCACCACCGATTTCTTTTCTGCTAAGAAAGAATGAAGAAAGATGTAACAAATTACCTTTGATTGAGACTCAACAAGAGTCGTACTGTAGAGTTATTGACACTAAGGGGGTCTGCAGTAAGGGCTGTTACCGGCGTCATCACAGGCCATCGTGCTATAGCACCACTGCAGACGTTGTCGGGTGGAGGAAGAGGAATCGATTCACCACGTCCATTTTAATTCCCGGTTCCACAAACAAGGCGTCACGCTTTCTCATTAGTTTGGGAAGATAGCGAGGGTGTAAATATCGGAGCTCCACAGCTTCATCCGAGATAATAAATGGTTTAACAAACACCAAACTGATAATATGGAATAAATTCCATTAGAAGGATGTACCTCCTCCTGGCACTTATAGAGGGTATTCACAAGCGGCAAGTCTGCATCCAAGTAGGAGTATGAGTCATCATTTTTACGTGCCTTTCTAACCCCACCTAACCTAGGTTGGCGTGGCTCTGCAACCAGACCATTTTATGAACCTTAGAGGTTGCCGAGAATATCTAAAAACAAAAACGCAGACTTGCCTGATTGGATAGTGGCATTTGACCAATCCCTATTTGCGATTATATCGTAATCGACAAATTATTATAACGTTATAATGAGAATGAGTTAAAAAAAAATTACCATTCTTGTCCAGTCAAAAAGCAAGCGATGAAAACTTTAATCCTACTTGGTATATTTCTCAGATGTTTCATAAAAATATGTAGGTAGCAGGTACAAATTCCATCTCTTAATGCTTCCCAAAAAGTGAAATGAAAAAAGAAAATATTAACAATTTTGCTATGGAATTTCAAAGGCTTGGCATTGCAGGCAAATTTTTTTTAGTTTTCTTTTTTACACACAATGACTTATTTATTTATATGCTGATGAGCAGAACAATGTCGAAATGTGATAAACTCATCAATGCTGTCGAAAGAAAAATGAGTAATTGCAATGAAGGCAGTAATGAAGGCAGCAAATCGGGTGAGAATTTTGTTTTCCATCTTTTTTGGGGATTGGTTAACATTTTTGCACAATACCTACAATTGATATTCGCGCATGCGCAATTAATGCAATTATCGTTGTGGTGTTTTTTTGTACTTCTAAAAGTCAAATTGAATTTCTGATCAATCATTTTCTACTTCTTTGCACCTCTTTGAAGCAAAAAATTAAACGCGCACTGTGACAAACGTCTATACACTGCTGTGTCGCAAATGTGTGCATATATACATACATATGTAGTATGTATGTACATCCCACCACCTACTCCGCCCGCTCGACCACACCTAAGTCTAATAAGTAAACATTTATTGGTTATTGGATGGATTTTTTGCTTATTTTTGCTTGAAACTTTTGCCTCTAACACCTTTTTTATGTAAGTACTTAATGTGATCTATGCAAATGCATAAGCGAACAGGGTGATTCAATCGTAACTTTAATTATATTTGAATATACAAGTAATGATATTTCTGATTTATCGTCAAAAATATCATTTAATTTAACGAAACTAAGTGCCATATCAAAATTGATTAATACATTAGTGATGGTATCGATAACAATACCGATCAAGATAGCGATAGAAGTACCGAGTATGAGTTAATAATGATGCTTACATAGCCAATTACATCGATAAATATTTCGATAAGTTTATCGATAATTATGTCTATAAATTTACTGATAACTATTTTTTATACATATTTATTGATAGTTATTTTGATCAAAATATCATTAGGGGTATCGATAAATTTATAACATCATTGTATATATCAATGTACTACTAAATTACATAAAGATCTCTAAGAGGTCCCTGCGGGCCTTGTCGACGATGACGATATCTCGGAATCGTTTTATAGGCTATTTGAATAGATTCTAGACATTCCATTTATATAAGTTACGAAGGCTGAGGCGGTAAGGTCGTACCTGATTAAAATAACGCATCATTAAAAATGTCATAGGGATCTAGGGACCTATATTAATATAAGTTTAATACTATATTATTACATTGGCTTACAACGCCAATCATTCCGATAAATATTTCGATAAAAATATCGTTTAATTTATCGAAAGTTATCAAATATGATGAATATATTAGTTACGATATCGATAGCAACGTCGATAAAAATATAGATAAAAGTATCGAGAGTTTTATTAAGTTAAGTGTAACGATGTATTATGGAAAAGTTAATGGATGAACATTCCGATAAACCCATCGATAAATATTTGGATAATAATAAAGTTTACTGTATCGAAAAGAAGTACGATATGAAAATTTTATAATATAGTAGCTACGTTTCCGATAACAGAGTCGATAAATATAGCGACAAACTATTTACCCATGGGCAAATATATCGATAAATAGTTCTATAAATTAATCGATAACTAGTGCATGCACAAATATGTAAACATGATTGTTTGTATATATCGAGCCTATCTAAGCAGCCGGCTCTGTCTCAGAAAACTTTTCAACAATGCCCTACTTCATAATTTGTTTGAAGAACGCCCTATCTCAGAATTTGGTTCAAAAAAGGACTGTCTCAACTGAAAATATATTGAAAATATGTTGAGATAGGCCATTTTCGGACTGAATTCGGAAATAGGGCGTTCTTGAAAAGTTTTTTTGAGATAGGGAGCTTTCGCACCGGCTGCTGAGATAGGTCGATCTTCTACTCAGCCGTCGATATGTAATATGCATTAAATCCTAGGCAAAGCAATCTGTGTTTTAAATTCAAATCAGATCATTTCGGAGTCTCCGACGTTCATTTAAATGTTTTATTAAATTTTTTTTCACCACCCTTTATCAGACATCAGACATTGCAACCCGTTTTCTTCCACTGTGCAAATATTTGTTCACGCTTAATTCTTAAATGGCTTTAAAGCCAAAGTTATTTAACGTAATTTTTCATCGTCTCTTAACTATTCTTCTTTTTTCTTCTTTTACTATTCCATATGTAGTTAGAAATATTTCGTTTTTAGACGTTAAATTGTCAGCTGTTATGAGGTGTGTACCAGCTCCGCTTGATAGTTTATGTTTCTGTTGTTGTTGTTGTTGTTGCAACTGTCAGCAGTCATTCGACTAATTTATGTGCCACAATATACGGTTAATGCATGCGTGCGAACTCCTGCGGTGTATTTCATGTTAATACTCGTATATCGCATACTTGCAACGCATTAGCCAAATTATACAACATATTTTATGACACCTTTAAAAATGTCATGGCATATTTGTTGCGAGAATTTATGCAAGCATACACATGTGTCTTTATGCATACACATTCTGGTTTACTCAGGCTTGGAAGTATTTATACGTTGGTTAAGAAATTGCGATTTGAGAGTCAACAAGTAGTGATTAGAAGAAAAAAGGTACATTTTCATTCGTTAAGAGTGTGCAATAGCTTAGCATAGTGGATATAATCTGAGCTCTATAAATTAGTTTCTCGCTATTTCTCATTGCGTTTACGAAGAATATTCGCTTAGATAGCCTTTCAAAAAATTAATAGGCGGGTTGGCCACACAAGGAACTCTTTTAAAAAAGCACCTTCTAAGAATACAATACCATTCAAAACATTGAAGGACTTTTCTGGAAATAAGTAAGACAAGTAGTGAAAGTGGCATTTATTTAAAATGTCAACTTTCCGCACATATCTTCTATTAATGTTAGCACTTTCAGTACCTAGATTTCGATCCGTGAACGGATGTTACAATTCGAGCCCTGTTTAAGCCGTCGCAAACTTCAACCGTTGTTCGTCCCAGGAGCAACACACCTTATGCTGTGTTTGTGAGAGTACACTCCAACCGAACTCCACTTCGTTTAAGCGTAATACAAGTAGGGATGGAACTACCTCAAGTCGTGTACAGCCTTTAGGTCACACACGCTTTGTGATCCCATGTTACTCAAGTCAAACGGTAATCACAGCTTCTACAATGAACCCCGCGCAGTGCCCTCTTAGCACCCAAGCAGCCTTCCCGTCTCAACGGAGCTAACCAAAGAGACGAATTTGCACAGCTACTCAACTTTGTTTAGTTGCACAGAATACAATATGCTCTAATAAGATCACAAGCGAGATAATGGTAGTTGCCTAACGTACACTGCACTCTATATCTTACAGTACCGAACGACATAGACCGCAGGGATGCCATATCTACTAGGATGTCCGGTCAGGTAAAGTCGAGTCCGAAATATTCAGTGGTTTCACAGCCCTGTCATCTGCTTACCGGCAGGATAAATGTATGTACGTGCTCTCCTCAGCGCTGAAATCGACATGGTAGTGAGTGACCTGGACGCGCTAGACGATATTTTGTGTTATGGGTAATTGCAGAAGCTCGCAACTGGCGTATTGGACGCTGTCGTTAGCATCGATCTTCTAGCCATAGTATTATTTCCTCATAAACCAGCTGACTTTGCTACCAAGGATCATCGCGCTATACATATGTATATCAACTTCAACAAAGCTGATTGTCACGGCTTCGCGGAAGTTAGCTGACGCTTAACATCACAAACTACCAGGTGTCTCGTCCTAATGGCGTTGGATCAGTCAAAAGCGTTTGACACCGTCTGCATCTCTCTCCCGCAGGCAATAAAAAGGTGGACTTCAGTAGTCAGCAACATTTCGAAATCAAACCTCGAAACCTAGAAAATTTAAACAGGGTGTGGTGGTTTCCACGATTCCCTTTAATATCTATATATCGAAGTTCCCCTACCCAGCCCCTTGAAGCAGTTTCCACAATCTCATACGCTAATTATTGCTCGATATTGGGATCCAAAGTAAAGCGCTCTCCGATGATTTGACTTCATCAACGCGAGAGGCCTTTCCTCCCCCTCACTCGCCCCCACGAAATTTTCGGCGACCATTTTACCACTGTTTAAGCGACTTACAACACCTGGTGCCTAGAGGTATGCTACACCTTCATTCATTTACATACATACATATCTGCAAGAAAATGTGCATATGATAATAATTCTGGCACCACAAACCAATTAACATTCGGCCACCTTCACTACCTCCGACCCTGTGAATGTCATCATCGGAATTCAATCACCATCAGTTGCAGAAGAACACCTTCAGCTGCCTTAGGATCCACGCTGCTCTGGCACAATTACGGTCTGATTACTGCAGCAGGTTAAACTCCTTTTTACCCATGCTAGACCCCACAGTATATGCTGCATGTGAAGGTTCCCCCCACGACCTTTGCCTTTGGTCCGACCACAACGAAGCAGCACGTTTCACGCACCTAGCGTTAATTAAACTTGACGACAGCGATTGTAGGATTAAGCAACAACTTCACCTGATTAAAAACCAGTCTACCCGTATTTATAAATTATTTTTGTAAGAATAGATAACTAAGCGTCGTTCTTCAGAAATCGCTCCATCAACATTAACCCTTAAAGATAGCAAAACACTTTCAACTAAACTCACCTGCTGCTTAAAACGCTTGCTGGCGCTTCTCTTCAACGTATTGCAATTCGCATTTCTCGCCGCGCGATCCACCTCATCGTCTGCAGCAGCAACGCCTATACCTTGAGGCGGCATGCAGCGCTTACTCAGCTCCACCAGCTCCGAAACAGGTTGTACCTGCCCCGAAAAATAAAACAAGTTTAAGAAATATGTTTTTTTTTTTGTAATTTTCCAAACCCACTCACCTCCACAGTAACCGAATCGCCGCTGTTGCGTATCATCTCGATGATCACCTCACGCGACAACTCACTCACCGGCGTACCGTTCACTTTGAGCAAACGATCGCCAGGCAGCAGTCCAGTCGCACCACCACCCGCACCCGGCTCAGCGAATATGACCGGCTTGAATGTGGGTGCGGTCAGCGATTCGGCGCGATCCAAACAAATCGCTTTGCGTAAACTAAACCCAAAATCATTGCGTGGCGACTTCTGGCGCCTAATAACGAGCTCACGCGCCGGCGGCAGTTGCACCAACTTAATCGGTGGCAATGGCAATTGCACATCCTCGAATGCGTGTACACGCGACCACCGATCGATGCCTTGCGATTCGCCAATAGGACTCAGCGAAAATGGTGGCGTGGCAAAGGAAGAATTTGTCGTATCTGTGAGACTGTCTGCGCTGGGTGATGGCGAGGTCATAACACGCAGATTGCCACTATGATGCTGGGGCAGTTGTGGTGCATAGCGCGCTGTTGTGGGTAGGGTCATGGCGCGTTGTATGCCCACGTTGCCACCTTCGTCGCTGCGCAGACTCTCGACGGAGGTGAAGGCGGTGCCGCCGCTGGTGTGTGGATTAACGCCGCCTGCACTACCGGCGCCACCGACTACACCACCCATGCTACTGCGTCCGGTAGCGGCACCACTAATGCTATTGCTGCGACTACCTTCGAAGGGCAATTCATTTTGCATTGTGTTGCGCATTACAAGCAGTTGTGCCTCGGGCGATGCGATCGTTATCTCTTCGTGTACGTTGGATATGTTGCTGCGTGAGCCCTTCAGTATGCCACGTTTTGGAGGTTTAGGCGGTACGGGAGGCAGTGAACGATGCTGTAATGGAAGAACATACAAATGTGGTTAGTTTGAATTTCGTTTTGAGGTAGAGAGATATAAATGCATTATACATAGATGAAATGTTTTGGAAGCTTTGCAAAGGATGCTGTGGTATACGCCAAACTGAACTAGGCGCAAGTGAATATATGGAGATGCTATTAATTTAGTCTTACGCATAGAGAAAAAGGCTTGTTGAAATGTCCTGAGGCTACCAAACCTGACCGCACAAAATGTGGAGCCATCTGAGTATCTTAAAACTATTCATAAAAGATTCCATTGTCTAATTAACAAGCATAACCCAGATGATAATTTAGGTATTCTAAAAGACCTTTCCAAAAGAAAGTAGTAGGAATTTAGAAGGGCTTTCAACTCCTGAAATTACCGAAGTTATCCTTTATTAAGTCCTACTAGGTTATAATTCATAATAAAAGCTTTTGTAAAGCGGTAAAAACAATGATCAGCGATGGGCTTTAACAACGAAAGGGCTAATACTCTCGCAAAGTACGCGGACCAACGGAGCCCTTATGGACCTCAGCCTTCCTGTGGTCTATCCAAGGGATAAACGGAGGAGTTTCTACAAAGATGAGAAGACTTTCAGGTTTTAGTCTACTGGTGTGTGTCAAAAGATAAGAGGCGATCCAAGAGATTTATATGTCACGCTCGTATTATTTCTGAACGATTGCTTGATATTAGGCGGGAGTATCAAGGAACTATCTCTGGGTGTCTGATAAGGGACTGTCAGCTTAGGGACCACTTTTGTATAATGTTACTTTTGAAGAGAACAACTTCAGTTTTTGTGGGCCGTTGTAGGAAACCTCAGATTACTATGTGAAACTCCAATTATAAGTAGTATTATTAGATTTATACACCTTGGGGAAAGATTATCGCCTACAACCACAATCCGTAGCTTGACACTCTCCAACGTACTTAACAGCAATAATAAATAAGAGAGAGCTTCCTTGAGAATAAATATTTACTATAGGATAGATGTTGGTTTGTTTGCGATGATCGCCTCCATAAGGCATGAAAGCAGGAAGCTCTTTAATATGGCGATAAGGGGACGGATCGTGCACACCTACAAGGAAGCCTTAAGAAATTTCAACCGAGCTATGAAAAGTGCTTAGAGGACCTCATAGAAATTTCTGTAATAATATTGAGAAACATTTGGAAGCCAACCGGTCTTATCAAAGGGTAGTTTTTCTCCCAGTTACATCCAGTAGCGTAACGGCTAGCGAACTTCATATCGAGACGAAATGCTAGAAGTTGCATGTAGATACTCACTTCGCTGACTGTATTGCTGTAACCCGGGTCCGCTCTAGGGCCATGTACGGCGGGTGAGGCTATCATAACCCACAAGAGCTGCAAGAAGGATCTGACATATTATGTCCTAACTTAGGGTAAATATCAAGCGCATGGACATTCGCGAAGGTCGTCTTCATACCAAAGGCAGGCCAGTTACCCTCATGAGAAGCCTAACGATTTTAGACCGATCAGCCTTTCCTCTTTGCTCCTGAAAGTCCTCGAAAGTGTACTAATGGTAAAACACCCTACAATCTTGCCCTAACTGTAACTGCTAAATACCCACAAGTACTGAGTGAACTGCCTGTTAAACGGCTCTAGGTAAGAAATGGGGTCTTAAACACCACATTGTGCACTGGATTTATACAGCAGTCGTACATTCTACGACGTCACAGACTGGTGGACATCACTGGATAAATCGTTCGCTAATTCTAAACTTACTACGGTTCAAAGAGCCGCTTGCAGGCTAAACACAGGAGCGCTGCCATCTAAGGCTACTAAAGCCCTGGTAACACTACTAAACGTTGTGCCCTTTTTGAGAAGCTTCAGGCAAGCAGCAATGCAGTAATATTAAGTGCAATGTCAAAAAGGAAAGACACCAAATTCGACCACACTATTGTTCTTACCAACTACACCGACACTTTTAGACTGCACTACACCGCCTCTCTAGCTCGAGAGCAAGTTCTCCACTCGTATCCATTCGAGGAAGGATAGGGATTCGATTCGGTCTGGGGCTTCCAGAATAAACCTACAACCGTCTAAACGAATGGCTCTAAACTGAATCTAAAAGTGGCATAAACTCGAAGGACCTCTCTCACCGGATCACTGTTTTAGACTGCCAGACTACTGCAGCGTATTGTAAGCAGAGTTCGCGGCCATAAAAGGGGCTGTACTTTGGCTCTTCGGAACTTCTCTCAATCCGTCTTTAGTAGCCATATACTCCGATATCCAGGCAACTGGATTGCAGTGGAACATCGTCAAAAATTGCGATAGAATGTAAGAAAGTGCTCAACGAGGTAACTTCAAAGTCTAGTATTCACGTTGTGTGGATGTCAGGAACCAACTTGCCTGAAGTCAACTCTTCTCACAATGCGGACATACCGCTATCCACCATCAAGACCTGGCTTAAAACAAACTGCGTCGAGAAGGCAAATAAAGGATGTTCGGAAAAACCCATGCGTGGGACGACTCGACAAATCTGGCACAGCTTCGACAAGATTAGATCCGACGCACTCATTCGATTAGAAGGCCCCTAAGGCAAGTGACCGGTATTATAACGCGCCAAGGCTTGATGGATGGGCCTGGCAGCAAATGACTTCCGCCAAATCCGCAGCGGCAAGGAAGAAATTGAGAATGTGCAATACTATCTCTGTCACTGCCCTATCCTGGATCTCCGAGTACAGTATTTCCGGGACGATGGTTGACGAATGTGATGATTAACTATTGATGAATGCCGTTTAAGGCGCGTCTAAAGTGCATAACTGATAACTAGGCTCTGAAAAGTATGTACTGTGGACTAGGTTGTTCGATTATTCGCCTTTTTTCCAAAACCGGCTTTCAAGTTAATCGAAATATTGAAATTTTAACAAAAAAAAAAAATTGTTACTTTTTTTGAAATCAGAAAAACCCGGACAAACCGGTTTTATTTCACATAGATTTCATGCAGCGAAAATGCTTATGTTGGTGTGGAGTCATACAAAAATTACAATAAAGCTATTAACATTAAAGATAGCTTTTATTTAGAAAAGAGCAAGGTAAAACAAGTTCAAAAATTTTTTTAGATCAAAAGTAAAACAAATAATAACACTGGTCTACAAATTTCAACTTTTTTTCTGCGAATAAGACGGGACCTGGTGTTTCTGAACGGATTTTTCGTGCTGAACACGAATCCGGGGTCAAAAATGTCCCATCACGTCACGTTTTCGAGAAAAAAGGGGTTGAAACCCCTAAAAACAGCGTTTTTGGCCATTTTCGAGAAATTATAGAGCTGAACCCTGACGTGGTACAAATTTTGCATATATCAGAAATTAAAGGCTAAACCGTGCCCTTTCGAATGAGCCCTATGCCGAATTGATCGCGTGCACCCTTAAAGCAGGGGGTGTATTTGTGTTTAGGGGTGCAGGAAAAATTGATCACAGAAAGAATTTAATCTTAAACGATCATAGAAAATTAATAATGCCAAGGTTTTAACTATATTAAAAGTCACTGATTACGAATCTGCAGTTAGATTTTAAAAATTTAAGATGACGGGTCGAATATGGTGGATATAAAAATTGGACTCCCAGACACAAATACACCCCCTGATCTAAGGGTGCATGCGATTAATTCGGCATAGGGCTCATTCGAAAGGGCACGATTTAGCCTTTAATTTCTGACATATACAAAGTTTGTAGCACGTCAGGGTTCAGCTCTACAATTTTTCAAAAATGGCCAAAAACGCTGTTTTTAGGGGTTTCAACCCCTTTTTTCTCGAAAACGTGACGTGATGGGAAGTTTTGGACCCCAGATTCGTGTTCAGCACGAAAAATCCGTTCGGAAACACCAGGTCCCGTCTTATTCGCAAAACCCTTGTAGACCAGTGTAATCAGTGGAAAACGCACGTTTGGTCTTATTTTAACATTTCTTACTTTATTGCATTTTTTCTCACTTTTCGGATATGAGTAGTGCTCTTGCCGAAGTATCCGAGTGCTTAGATGTACCTGCTGGTACTCGGGAGGTCCATAGGTCAATTTCTGGTCCCAGCAACATCAAAAAAAAAGCAAACCTCCGAGTGTACTTCTTCGGAGCTGGAGTGTGTAGATATCTCAATTTAGGGGTTTCCCTTATACCGGAAAGCCCTGAAAGCTTCGAAAGAACTCAAAAATTTTATTCAGAAGTCAAGCTTTGTATGAAATGAAAAAACCGGTTTGTTCGATAAAAAAAATCCGGTTCATTCGATTTTCAGAAATCAACATTTCAAAAACACCGTCTATAGACATAAAAAAAACCCGGTGGAAACCGGTTTGGAAAACCCGAATTATTCACCCTACTGTGGACAAAGTGTCTGTCAATACTAAGTTGGCTTAGTACTAAATCGCTCAAAGGCCTGCTTCCAGAAAAGCCGTAAACACACTGTCAATATTTCTAGCTAGGATACATAAGACAGATTTGCTTAATCTCTCCAAATAAATCGCAATCACAACGAGTGTAGTTAGATAGAACACAAAAGCTTCCGCTAAATCACTTCATCAGTACTCGACTCCTATTATATTTACCTTTCCGTTCCCACTCGCTGTGCTCCCCGTCGCCGACAACAAGGAATGTAATACACCCGCAGCAGCTCCTCCAGCACCTGCAGCAGCCGCACCAGCGCCATTATAACGACTCTCAATGGTGGTCGTCACAGATGCGACAATTTCTTCATTGCCGCGATCCAATTCATAAATGCTATCACCTTCGCCACTAACTTCGGCGCTCAACGCCGCACGGTCGATATCCAGCTGGGCAAAAAACTCCGCACTATAATCAGCTGTAATGCCGCTAGGCAATTTCTCTTTCTCTTTGCGACGACCGCGAATTTTTAGCGAACGGCGTACCTGCGAAAGGGCGTCACATCAAAGAGACATAAAACGGAAATAATTTTATTTTTCAAAGTTGGAAATTACATATCTACTAAGTAGATACACCTACAGACATACCTCGTCTAGACGCAGCAGCTCCTCAGTGCTCATGCTGCCCGAAAGCAGACCTGCATTTTTAGCCTCTTTACGCAATTTCTTCTCACGTTTGCGACGCTCTTTCTCTTCGTCGCCACCGCCGCTGCTGCCACCACTCACCGAGGATACGCCCTTTTTCATGAAATTGAACATCTTATGGTTGTTGTTTTTGTTGTGATTGCTCTTGCTCCACTATGGATAGTGTGTTAGTTATTGCTATTTGCTATTGAGGAAGTGCAAAAGTATGTGGAAAGAGTTGCATGTGACGCAACGATTCGCTAGCTACTCGTCGTTGTTGCTGATTTTGTTAGTGTCGCTCGTGCCGCTTAGTTGGGCACAACCGGCGAGCTCAGCTGCTGGACGCCACACATGCGAAGGGCAATCAATAGTGCTGTTGGTTGACCCTTGCTGGCCGGTGCGAACTAAATGCGAACACGAAGGTCGTCAGCTGCTATGCGCTGCGCCGCTAATGTGTGCGGGGGATGCGCGTTGCGGCGCAGTGCGGCGCTGTGCGGTGTTTGTGAGGGTGGCAGGGGATGCTTTCACGCGATTTTTACTACAATTCCAGGTAAAATTTTCAAACAGCAGCCGCCTTCCTTTTTTTAGAGCACCGCTTCCGCTTTTGGTTTCACAGTTTAAGCACCGACGACTGCAAGAGAGGGGAGAAAACAAACAAACAAAAATTGTTAATTAGAGGCGTGGCTAATTTATGTTGTACATAAATGTTTATTTCTGTTAGATATATTTATCACCAATTCTTTATCACTAATCAATTGAGAAGAAGTAGAGCTGTCTGACCGACCAGACAGTGAAATTGCATCTGTGCAGCGCTACAACTCTCGCTGTTGCCGCTCGACTTGAATTGACTCGACTCGCTCGACACCACACATCACACAAACGTCAACTGGAAACAAGCGGTCACAAAAAAAAAACACAACACTAATACAACCCTCGGTGGCAAAGATGCCACATACCGCACGAGTGTAACTGATACAATTTCACTTTTACACTTTATATTTTTTTTTTTGCATTTGCATTTGCAATGCAATTTTCCACATTAAATCAGCTACTTGGTGCATCTATGAATGAATGAATGAATGAGTTATGATTACCCATTATTGTGTTATTGCATTATTTATGCGCGCAGCGTTGTGATTTTTTCGCATGCCACATAGCACAGAGCAAAGGCTTGCAAATTTTCTTTGATATCCATTCATGCAACGACTGCAACTGATGTACATAGAACGAACGCAACTAATTCGATTTGTAGTGCAAGTTTTCCGGCAAGGCAAAGTGAAGTGAAAAATTTAATAAAGCAACGTAAAAAGGAAAAACAAAAGCAAATTGTGAATGCCATGCAAAACGCAAACGAGCAACGGCGAGCAGCGAAGAATGGCTGGCGGCTGTGGGCTGTTGGCTGGTGGCTGGCGTGTGTGAGATGGTGCGAACCCAAACTCCGGTTTTCCACCCACGAAAAACACTCGTCACAATGGAGGTATAGCACCAGCACAAATCGAAAGACAGCAGCGCAAATAAACGCTGGCCCTGTAGGAAAATAGTTTAAATCTTAACAGATCTGCTGCCTCAATGCCTGAAAGGACAACAGCTGGCAGCAACTCGCATCCTTACTTTGAGACAGTGATGGGTGAAATGCATTAACATAGTTTATTGCAGTAAACACCAAAGGAGCATTACAAATGTAGTGCGAAGAAGGTCCGAAAGATGCCGAAAAGTCCCCGAAATACTGAAAATCCCTGAAAAACGAGAAATAATCCCAATTAGTCCAAAAAGGTAAAACAAGGGCGGCGGAGTTCCGAAAAATTCTGGAAAATCCCGAAAAGTGAGAAACAACTTTGTTCTCCCCAAAATAACGAAAATCCTTTAAAATCCAGAAATAATCCCGAAAAGTCGGGAAATGTAAGACACGAAGAATATTTCGAAATTATCACGAAAAATCCCCAAAATAGTGAAAATTTATTAAAATAATAACCTAAAACCGACGGAGTCCCGAAAAGTTCTGAAAAAAACACGAAGAATCCCGAAGAGTTCAGAGGAAGTTCTAAAAAAAGTTCTGAAAATACCGAAAAAAACCAGAAATTATCCCGAAAATCCCGAAAGTCCCACCAAAATACCGAAAATTTTTCAAAACCATATATAATCCCGGAAATTCCAGGGAAATTAAACGCGAAGAATTCCAAAAATCCCAAGATTATTCCGAAAGGTTTCAAAAATTTACAAAATACCAAAAAAAAAAAATATTTAAAATACAGAAATAGTCCCGAAATGCGGCCGACGGTTCCGTAAAATCCGGGAAATCGCAAAAAGTAAAACACAAAGCCCCCGAAAAGTTCAGAAGACGTTCTCAAAAAGTACTAAAAATAGCGAAAAGGCTCGAAAATCCAGAAATAACCCCCAAAAGTTTCCCCAAAGTATAGAAAATTCTTGAAACCCGAAAGGTCTCGTAATAGACCAAAACGTAAAACACGAAGACGAATAACGAAATAATCTTGAAATGTCCCGAAAGCTCCGCGCAAGTTTCAACCAAACTCATTTTGAGTTCAAATTGAATGGTACTGAAATTCACTCGTGATCGAATTGCAGAACCTGCCGGAAATGTTGCGAAAATCCAGAAGCAAAATCGAAAAACATAAAGAATCCCGAAAAGTTCAGAAGAAGTTCTGAAAAAGTACCGAATATCTCGAAAATTTTTGAATATCCAGAAACAATCCCGGAAAGTCGCGAAATATCCCATAAAGTACCACACGAAGAACCCCAAAATGTCCAGAAAACACCGAAAAGTCCAGAAAATACCAAAATAATCACCTAAGCCTGTCTAATTTGCACTAGATGAGGAGTGGGTAGCATGGGCGTAGCCAGGTAGGGGCAGGGTGGTGCTCGCGCCCCCCCCCCCCCCCCCTAACTTTCGAATTTTCCTGAAGCGCACCACTGCGTCCCTCAAACAAGGACATCATACAATAAATTTCGCTTATGGTATCATAATAAATGGCTTCATCACCCTCGACGAGTGGCCTTAGCGATAGTCCATGAACCCTTCTTTGTCGCTTGCTTGACGTCCGGCTTGCAGGAAACCAGCTTGACTCCAGACCCACAAACTTCTTTTGCTTTCCGCTGTTCTCTAAAATAACTTCCAAACGTCAGCGCTAATCGAAGATATTCTAATGCAATAGAAGTCCTATTGTTTATTTATAAGGGCTTGCCTACTAGACTTCCTGACTAACTCATGGACCTCCACGCTGAATTTGCTTAAGGAAACCAGCCAAATGCTTAGCCATAAAGTTTTCTGTAATGTTATTGCGAACTGGTTATGAAATAAGGTTTCTTTCAAAACGTTTAATTCTAAATCTTATACCAGGTGAACATTCTTTCAGGGGAAGCGTGTGGAGAAAAAAATTTACTAAACTGAAACTATCAGTCGCAACGACTTGCTCGAAGTACATTTTCCAGATTTGATTTTGAAAAGCTGCGGTGGTGAGTTTTCGTTAACACGAGAATCCTAGCTAGAAGATCGATCTGACATTACATTTGATCGGACCCCATCTTTGATAGAGTCCAGCATAGGAAACAGTGGATAGTTGAGTTTTTAAAATGTTCAAAACTGCACATAGGAAGGAAATATTTCCAACATGGGTAGTCGGCCTGAGATCTTCAGAAACTATGCGACTAGCCAGAGCCTGCAAGCAATGATCTAAGCCGTCATCAAGCCGATGTGGCCTGCAGCTCCTAACTTTAAAAACGGACTGTAATCGATAATCTCAAAAGCAACAAACGTTGAGCTCTACAATAGGTATAGTCAATACCACCGTATTAATCCCAACAACTCCACGCGCACTCGGCAAATGCTGGACCCATGCAGTAGTATCCGGGAATCTACCATTAAACGCAACGTACCCTCTTAAAGCTCAAAGTTCCTACAGGGTGGTTAAATATACGAGCATTCCTGTGTATACATTGCGAAAAATCAGCACGCACTGATGAGGATGTCAAACAATGGGTGGAAAATATGTACCACCAAACAGGTCAACCAGCTCATCAGCGCAGCTCATGCACACACACATCTAGATGCATAAAATACATACAAATTTAATACAGACGTATCAGCGCATGGGTCGGTCTTTCGGTCGTCGCTATCACCGGCATACAAGGCGCCCCACAAGCCCACAGTTGCTGTGCCATAGACAACAAGACACCAACCAGCCACGCAGAGCCAAACAAATGGAAATTTATGGGAAATGGCAAAAAAAAAAGCGTTAGCCATTTACACAGCCAGCGATTGCAGCAGCATTGGGGAAAAGAAAATTAGAAAAAAGATAAAAGAGATACGAAGAAAAGTCAAATGAAAGCAATAACATCAATGAACAAAATCGAAAAGCAAACAACGACATCAAAGCTAAAATGAAGAATAAGAAATTAAATGAGCAAACATCCACGGCAGCCGTGATGAGTCCGGAACTAACTGAACTTTGTGTGAAGATTACGTTTTACAAGAATAGACCTCAGAGCACGCGCCCTCCCCTAAAGAAAATCACACACGGCGACATATACAAATGGGGAATGAGGAGGTTGCCGCTTGGTTGAAAAGATTTTCACATTCATAAATAGCTTTGAATTTTTGTGCATGAAAAGTACGAAAAAAAATCTATAAAGGAATAGTCGGCTGTATAGGCACAAATTTGGTAAAGAACCTGTTTCAAAGGATTCAGAGTATCGGAATCAATTATCTTGGAGAGCTGCATCCGTGGTCGAATGATTACTCGTTTCGACTCGAATGAAATATAATGGAAGCTGTTTTCTCGCAAAAAAAAGTGTTTGAAGTAGCGTAGAAGTCTTTAAAGTATCCCGATTCTCCAGCGAATCCCAGCAGATCCGCCAATGGAGTTTTCCTAAGCTGTGGTAGGCTCTTGAGGAAGTGGTCCCCTAGACATTTCGGTCGTTTTCTGCGGAGTGCAGCGCACTCACAAAGGAAGTGTTAGACGTATGATACCTCCTGTTTATCCGTGCAGCTTCTACGGAAATCCGAACCTCGCGGCCATGTGGCCAATGGCCCAGTATGCTGTTCCTATGCCTAGGAGAGGCCTAACGTATAACTCCGTATTCTTGGATATTTTTCCATCTGCTGTTGGTGACAACTCTGGTCACTGTCTCAACCTCCGAAGACCGGAATCGCCAGGGAGGTTTTACAATCTGGACCGTTTCACCTAATGCTATATCAGATCACTTTCAGGCACACTCGTGCTCTTCCTCATTTCCCGGAAGACCACTATGTTCCGGGGCCTAGTAAAGTTTGGTTATCTGTGCTTCTCTCTGAGATCTTCAGCATTCCTTGACGTATATTGAATGTGTCGTTGCCGAACGTAAGGCTTTGATGGCAGCTTGACTGCCAACAACGAAGCCAAGTTTAGATGGAGCTAGGTCAATCATGCTAACCAGCTTTGCCGCTATGTCAATTGCATATACCTTAGCCTGGAAAGCGCTCCAGAGATCTGGTAGTCTATAGGATTCTATCATAGATAATTCCTGGGAGAACACACCAGATCCTATCCTTATGTCCATTTTGGAGCCATCCGTGAAAATGGGAATTTCGTCGTCGTTTATTTGTAAAGATTTGTCGCAAGATGTGTACATTTTGGCAACCACAGAGTGGTGTTTTCTAGAAATTTTTAC